GTCTATGGGCATCCTTATCCACCGCCTTAGAGACCTTTTGGGGGCCCACTGACTTATCTCGGGACTTATTTGTCTTGAAGCAGAAGACGCTGTCACCTTCCATTGTGGAGGACTGATTCTCGTGCCTCTAACTTTAATTTTTTTAAAATTTATTATTATTATTATTATTATTATTATTATTATTATTATTTATTTATTTATTTATTTATTTATTTATTTGTACTTAGGGGTGATGCCAGCCCTGTGGTTGAAAGTAGAATGCTTCTCCAGGAGTGTAAGTCTATATATATATATCTATATACACATACATATATACACATACATACATATATTTATATTTAATTTATATTTAATTTATATTTATATTTATATATTTATATTTAATTTATATTTATTTATGTATGTATGTATGTATGTATGTATGTATGTATGGATCTTTGGTTGAACCTCAGAAAACACACACACACACACACATATATATGTATGTATGTATGTATGTATGTATGTATTTTTTCTTAAGTTTTCGCGGGTACTTACATGTATGGCCTTCAGCTTTGTTCGGGTATTTTCACACGTCATTATAGTTGTGCTTTTAAAGTTGTAGCAACGTTTCAGCAGAATCTCATCTGCCATCATCAGGCTTCTGTATTATGTCCGTCAGTGAGTCAGACTTTTACAGTGGTTTCAGATTTAAATTTGGGGCAGCCTATTGCTGTGCCAGAATGGTTTTTTCTTCATCCTGATTGGTTGGGAGTCTTGGTCTGTGTTTATTGGTCTCGGAGTTTGCTGTGTTCTGCTTGATTGGTGTCTCTAATATCTTATGTCTGTTTTTTTGGCTCTTTTTGTATCTTGATTGGCTGGCAGCATTGTGTTACTTTATTGGAGGTCTTTAGTGCAGCTTGGCTTCGGGTAAATGGACGGCTATCATTAGTTAGGAAGCTGGGTTTCATCTGGGTGCCTGGTTGGGATGTGTTTGAGCTGGAGGTATCAGGGGGGATCTGTTTGTGCCCAGGTGTTTGCCTGGCTTGTGGTGTGGAGATTT